TTGGAAGTTCATAACTATTTTTTATGTAAGTGAAAGATACAGAAATATTTTTTATTATAATTTTATGTACGTAATTTGCAATTATATATAAAGTCACTATAAAGGACTACTATGTTGATTATTATTCTAAATGTATTATGTGTTTTTGATGAGCCATAGGCTTTAGGTAAAAAAAAATAATCTGCATATGTCTCTATTATAAATAAATATTATACTTATTCTTATTCTTAAGTTTTATTATTGAATTAAATTGAGCCGCCACATTATTTAAAATTAATTATTCAATCAAAGAGTTTGAGCAAAGGATTTATAATCTATAAACATAGCAATTGTAATAAAATCATTAGTTTGGAAAACCCACTCAAGACTATAATGTAAAGCTATCAACGAATTGTTTTAATGGACCTACTTTCTTCTAATAATTCTTGTTGTTGTCTCGCATCGATATCCGCTTGATCTTCGATTATATCAGTTGCAGGCGCACTAGTACTTTCCTCGTTTACTTCTCCGTCGAAAATATCTATTTCATAATCGTTACACGGTGCTGGTAGAGAACTCAGTACCGTGCGCAACGAGTTCTTTGCCTGCGTCTGTATGAGTGGAGTTTCTGAGCCGTCTAGATTTTCATCTGGATTTATATTAAGTTTATCGCGAACAGGTGTTGCCGCTAAAACTCCATTTTGCGTTCGTGCTGATGCTCCGCCTGGCGTGTTGAACGAATTCATAGGTGTTCCATCGCTGCGTTGAGATCTAAATGGAGTAGCCAAAATCGTATTCGGCGTTGCAATCACATTGGTAGGAGGCACAACGCCAGTAAAATCAGGATTATTCAGTGGAGTGTTCAATCCACCTAAAAAAAAATATTTATGTGCATATCAAATAGAGTGTAATTTAATAAATGTGTTAAATTGTAAAGTTTACAATTATATTTTAACCTTTTAATGGTGTATCCACGTGCGTAAGAGCCATAACATTTTGAGCTTCTTGCAATATTCTATCTGTAACAGCTGGAGTACGAGGTGTTGCTGATGCATTTGTAGGCAAAGAATAATCAGCCAATAAACTGTCGGAGAGTGTAATACCGCTCTCAGTAGCAACTTCTCGTGCAACCTATAACAATATATTAATACTATGCCACATGAATTTTTTTATCGATTCCTTGACACACTAATATTTTATACCTAAATCTCACAAAATAAGTTGGTATATGACCTAAAATTTAATGATTTTCAAAATATTTATGGATTTGGTCAATGTAAAAAATATAAGTGGCGTTGAGGTAATAAATATAATTCCTGCGCCACGTGCATAAATGTAAATATATGCATATTTGTACATACATATTTGCTATCGTTTTTATAATTTTAAATAATTTTTTCGTATTAAAATAAATTTTCCGATAAAACATTTTTTTAATAAAAATTTCTAGATTAATAATCTTCTTCAAAATTCACAATATATAAAAATAATAGTGTTTTCGATTTATATATATAAATGACAGTAAATAGGAAATATGTGTTAAAATTGATATATGCGACATCTTAAACTCACATCCAATTATAAATACATATGACAGTATTAAGCGATTAAATAATGCAGAAATAAAAAATAAACCTATAATTTCCAGTATAAAAAAGTTAATTAAAGGACATACTTCCGAAGCTCTACCAAGCTTCACGACTTGTTGTAATTCTTGATCAGAGATCTGTGGTTCTGGTAAGACTAATTTACTCCTTTTTTTTATAGGCTCTTCATTGTTGAGCATACCCATAGGTATATCATTTTCTTTGCGCTGTTTCAATTTCTGTTTATCTTTCCTGCGCTCCATCTCCTCCTTTTCTTGTCGGAGTTCACCATCTAGGTGTTGTTGTCTCATTCTGGAAAAATCGATCGCCAAAGGGTCAACATGCTCATTGGAGGTATCATAGAAACCTGATGCAGGTCGTTTCTCAAACGGTATCTCTGTGTTATAATTGACACCGCGTTTACGTTTGTTCTTTTGAGACACAGTAATACCAGCAGCTCTTAATTCTCTACGCTTCTGTAAAGCTGCGAGTCGGCGTGCCTCTTCCAATTGTTTTTCACGTGCTTTACGTTTAGCCTTCTTGCCCTGAGTATTTGCTAGCCTAGCACGTGCCTCGGATAACATCTCCAATTCTGTGAACAAATACAATCATTAAAAATTTACAGTTGCTTTGTTATAGACTATAATCGGTTCTAATGTAAAATATGTGATAAATGTGTTAATAACAGTTAGCTTTCTATTTTCACGTAAATGATACTAAGTTTAAAGTTATGTATTTTATATTCGGATAATGTCATTACTTGCTTACTTTGATAACAAAATTATCGCATAACAATACAGGTTTTAAAATCTCACTTTTAATGTGAGTTAACAAGACTCAATAAAGCTCATCTTGAGTTTGTGTAGATTTTTGTAGGTAAAAACTCAGTTGAATCTCACTTTGGTTTTAGAATGAAAAAGAATGTGCATTCAACTAAATTATGACATAAATTATATCATAAATTAGATATATCTGAATTTTAATATAAATGAAAAACAACTAATATCGTTACCTACCTCATTAAATCTTAATTAAATCTTATTATAAAACCTTATTAATAAACCTTAACCTACCATCTTCATCCATATCTTTAGGATCTGGTCTCGCTGGTTTGGTTTCAGGATTAGGATCAATTTCACCAGGTTTAAGTTTACGAGGATCGTCTACAGCATCATCTCCTTCTTCCTTCTTTTGTGCTTGATCACTGAAATAATTCATTCAATAGTAGTGCAAGAATATATTGATTAGAACAAATCATTTAATGTCCGTTTCTACCAATATAGATCATGAGATAAGAACTTTAATCTTGATTCAACTTACTCTTCATTTTTTTCTAATTCTTAGAACTAGAAAGATGAAGAGTTTGTTGAACTGAGATTAAAATTAAATCAACATTGGTAGGAAGGAATAGGCCTAACTTAAATAAAGCCTGATGTTACTTACAGTAAATATTCATATCTTTCTAAACATTGGGCAGCTGTTCGACCAATGATTGGCGCAATTGTACGCCACTGTGTAGGCATCAATTTTGCAAGATGGAGAAGCTTTTCGTCTTCTTCCCGACTCCATTCAGTCTTCTTTATGCTAGGATCCAGCCATTCAAACCAACGGGCTTTGCACTGTTTGGCTGATTTTCTATGTAATAAAGATGCTATACGACTCCATTGGTTTTTTCCATATTTCATTACAGCCGCTTTCAAAATCTCATCCTAAAAACAATGAATTTTTTTCATTTAACAAAATTATACAACATGCATATACATAAATCTTTAGGTTAGAAAATATCATATATAATTTACCTCTGTATTCCGCCAGACACCACCCTTTATCATAATTCGCGGCATTTTTTACTTCTATTTGTAACGTTTTATGAAAGAAAAGTATATTTTTAATGTTAAAAAATGTGAAAAGCTTTCCTTCTCGGTTTTATTTTGGCATTCGTCTAGATTAAGGCGATTCCTGGCGATGCCGATCCTGCCAATGTTGCGGCTTCACAGATTAACGAAAGTGAGCAAGTGTAATCAAGTGATGTCGAAAAACCTCACATACACTCGTATGTACCTCACACTCCGCACTGTTCTATAAACAAACCGAAACAAATTGTAACAGACACGTACGATCAGTGTACTTTAATTCTGGAAAAATAATTTCAAATCTATAAAGGAGGAAGAAAGATTGTTATACAAAAATTATTGCGTTTAGTCGGTAATACCGGAAACCTGAGAGAGGACATGACGGCCAAAACCTGTAACCGCAAAATGCTGCCGCGCACTACCGCCCTCTGAAGAAGCGAATGTTAACTACACAACAATATCCACTTTTTTGCGGTGGACCTCCTAATGAAAATAGATAGTTGAAATCACTAAAATAAATAAAATCTATTAAATTAATAAATATTTCAACAATTTCAGCGATTTATTTCCATCCAGGAACACTGCAAAAAGGTGGATATTGTTGGGTAGTTTACATCTACTTCTTCAGAGGGAGGTAGTGCGCGACATTTTGCGGTTACAGGTTTTGGCCATCATGTCCTCTCTCAAGTTTTTCTCAGCATATATCTAACGGCGATAAAATTGATAACACGATTTACAAAATCTACGATTAAAAAAAAAAAAAAAAAAAAAAAAATAAATATGTCCATTTATATACAATTATATAAAATTATATATAATTTTATTTAATTATATGAAAATATTTTTTCCCGGGATTAGTGATAAGAAAAAAATTAATAAAATTTTGTAATTATTAAGCATAAATGATTATAGAAATAAATATTTAAACACTCGTGATGATATCTTTTGCTGAAATACTAATTTGGAAAGTTATTAAAATACATACAATAATGTTATACATATATTTATCTTCTTATGTGAATAATTACAATTGATAACTACAAAGCTATATATATACGATAAGTGTATTCGGATATAGGTGCGGTTTTTTGCACATGTACAATAGATTTATTAGCGAACTATATTAATATAGTAAATATAGATATTAGCTACGTTTAGAAGAAAAAGCAGATTTGCAACTGTTGTAAAATTCTTCAAGACAATTCGTTCTTGCCATTGTTTTTTCATGGATTTAAATATATAAATAAATTATATTGAAAAATCTTATAAGAATTTTACAGCAATTGCAAAGCTGTTTTCTTTGCTGAACGTAGCTATTATGGTATTTTTTTTAACTTTAGCAAAATATTATTTTAATTCGTCGTTATATTGATGTCAAATGACAACAAATAACATTAACTTGTTACTTGAAGATTCTTTCTTTTTCTTTTTTTTACTTTTAATACAACACACTATGAAAAAAATCATAAAGTACGTTATTATAATCAAATTACTTTTATACATTTTTAGATTATGTGGCAAATACAATTTAACTAGAAGCCCTCCACCACCCCCGTCGATTATAATCGACGGTCTTCTTTTTTTTACTTCAGTAAGTTTACGTTATTTGTCGTAACTTTGATATCAAAACAATATTGAAGACATCACTCTAACGTTAAATAACGACAAATAACGTCAGTTTGCTACTTCAGTTCTTCCATTTTGTTTTTTTCTTTAACTTTTAAACTAACACATACTATACAAAAAAGTTATAAAATATATTACACTCGAATTACGCATATACGTTTTTCATATAATTTGGAAAAAACGAGTTAAATTTATAGAGACCCTCCACCACATCCCCTGCCATCCGATCGACAGTCCTCTTTCTTTTACAATACCATAAAATGGAATATTTTTTGCCCAAAATCAGAATAAATTTAGCCCAAATTTTGACACTACAGCACGCAAAATCTAAACATGACATCTTAAAAACGTCTTATAAAGAATTGATCAAACTATTGTTTTAAAGAAATTTTAAGAGTCTTACGTATCGATGTCATTATATTGTCGTTGCGTAGTTTTTTCATACATTGTACATATATGAAATCTGCTCAATGACAATATATAACGACAATTTATAGTTACTGTCATTAATTATAAGAATTACAAAATAGGGACTAAAGTTACCTCATTTTATGGTATATTTCTTTACATTTATTTTTTATTTTTTACTTACATTAATTTTTATACAATTTACTTTACATTATACATAACAATACATATTACAAAAAAATTACATTATAAAACTGCAAATAATTATATTATATAATATACAATATGTATATTATATAATACGCGCAAAATTTCTTTTTAACATGAAATTACAGAGAAAACATTCGGTATGCGTATAATAACACAAAATTCTCGCGATGCAAAATATGTAATTGGCTATCCGTCCAATCGACAAATAATTATTACTAGTATTTATTAATAATTATCAAATATATCTGCAAAATTTGTTTTACTTTTTTTTTAATTTATACGAGCAATTGTAAGCAACCAACAAGATTGTTAATAAATTTATTATATATATCTCTTTCAAAAAAAAAGAATGTCAATTATTATCTGTATATATGTAATTTATACATTTTACAAAATACAAAAGAAATGTGCAACATGCAAAAAGTACGCGAAACTTCAATACAAGACAATGTGACGAATGAAACGATCTAATCAATTCCAATACATATAATTTTTAATTCTGTAACGCGTCTTCTATAATTATTTCTTTATATAATAATAAAAATGTTGTTTAACAACTATTAAATGTATTGCAATATCGTATCTATGATTCAAATAATATAACAAAATGAACCAGATGATTTAATCGCACATACATAAATTCTATTTTTCGCTTTACTTTCAACAAAGAGATAACTTTATGAGTCTCTAAAAAATCGCGAAGAAATACTGCGTTATCACTGCGTTAAATAGAAAATAACTAATCCAATAATGAGACCAAATTTTTCAGAGTAAATTGGATAGTCCGATAGAAAGAATAATCTCCACGGAGAGCGAGCTGTGTTCTGCTTCTCGTTAAGCTTCACGTCATCAACGCGAAAGAAAGTTAAATGATTTATTGAACACTAAGAACTCCGTTGCAGGAGGAAACCAATCCCAAACTGTTCTTACAATAGGGCCCATCTTGGCAACAAATTAACAATTGTTACCCGTTTCCAAATTTTTACAAATAATGCAAATATTATGCAATTATCGAATATTTTAACGATAAATTAATCGATAAATTAATTACAATTTTATAGTACACAATATCAAGATTTGCACGTAAAAATATATTCTTTATATTATTACGAAATACAGTATCTTAACAAAATAAAAAACATGGATAGAATAATATTTATCGAAGAAGAGTTACAAATGATTATATTTTAAAGTAATAAAATACATACGTCATTATAATTTATTATATATGTGAGTACATAAATTCTCAGGTACCAACTGTTCAAAACGAATCGAACCGATAACAATAAGATTCAAATTTTATTCATTTTTTTATCTTATTTTGATTTTATAATGAAATATTAATATAAAATTTATATCAATCTTCTTTTTTCTGCAGCAGTTACTCAAATGTAGTCAAGTAATTAAATAGGATTATCTAAATAATTAATGTAATATTTAGATAATTAGAGTTCAAAATCTTATTGATATTGGGGTACCCAATCGATTCGTCTTGAATTTTTAAGTACGCACATTTTTAATTACGTCCATTATATTATTTCAATAAATTATTTAAATAAACATGAATCTTTTTGATAAAATTTGATCAGATAAATAAAAGCTAAAAATTTCTTGCATAATATACAGACTGCGTATGTATTTTAATATACATATTAATCTAAAAAAATTTTTTATTAATTAATGTTTTAGAATAAAGGGATGTCCAGTACCTGAAAAGAAACTAAAGATTAAAATAAAAAAATATATTCATTTGTAACCACATTTTTTCTTAAAGAAGTTGCAAAACCGATTAGTTAATAAAACTTATAATTTTAGTATGTTTTTTTATATTTAATGTAACTTATTTATAAATAATTGCTATCCATGTTAAATCTTATTATTGTCAAAGCAATATTAATGTTAATTAATGAAAGAATATTTAATGAGATGAATAAATCCCCCTTGTCACAGAACATACTAATTTAATTGATTTCATGATTAGACTTCAAAAAATTATATTGCCGTAGTCGTTAACTTATTACCAAAATTACTGGTTTCAGAGAATATAAAAAAAAACCTTCAATTAATTAATCGTTTAATTTCAGCCCTGCAACGGCCGAGAATCCCCAGATTTAAGCACCGAAATAAGCTCAGATAAATGCTACGCAAACATAACTTTTCACGTTAAAAATCATTACTTTTCATCGATACGAATTACAACATTTCTACCTACTACTTGATGCTAGGAACAACCACGATTGAGCCCCAATTATCGTACTTACGAACATGAAAATAATGCAGTATTTGCATTAATTTTTAATGATTTAACATATTTAATACGAAACATAATTTAAGAATTCAGTTAATAAATATTTAATATTATATACTTCACGAATACGTTTCATCTTAAAAGCGAGATAAAATAAGGCATTTTGCAAATTCTATAACAAGCTATAATATAAAATTTGGAATTTCGCAAAATATATTAAATTTACTTGTGACATCGTGATGTCTAAGACATGAATGTTAATTTCGTGAACAAAAATTGTATACACAACATATCGTCATTGTCTTCAATTAATTATTATAATACATGCCACATAAACTATAATTTTTAATACAAAATTTTAAATAAAGTATTTCCCGAATTTTTATTAACAATCTTTTGGT